AGGAGGAGGAGGAGGAGGAGGAGGAGGAGGGACACCGGTCCAGCCAGCCAGCGAGCGGCTCCGGGGCGGCCCCTGTGCCCCGTCCCCTCCCCTCCAGACCCCGCCGGGGACCCGCGGGTGACAGCGCCGGCGGCTCCCACGCTCTGCCCTGGAGCTCCGAGAGAGGCCGAGACCCCCCAAAAGCTGGGCCGCTACTCGGAGGGGTCTCGGGGGACACTCTGAGACCCCCGGGGCCAGCGGGGATCGGACCCCCCTCGCTCCCAGCTGGGGGTGGAGCCGCGCCTGGATTTTGGAGAGCCCAGCCCGCATTCCCTGGGGGGAATGGTCCCAAAATCTCAGCGACAGACCCCAAAACCTGCCTTCCAACTTCCCAGATCTCCCCAGGTTTTGCTCCTTCGCTGTGCTGGTCCATCCTCCACCTCCCCCTTCCCTCAAAATTCCCGACCATCCAATTCCTGCCCATTCCCCCATCCCAGAAATTCCTGAGGAGCCTCGAGCGAGGAGCCCCTGGATGGGGCCGTGAGGCGCTCCCTGCTCATACCTGGGAGGGCAAAGGTGGGAGCACAAGCGGAAACCTCACCTGGGCAGGACAGGTGGGGAACAAAGGGGGATCCATCCTCCCCGGCAGCCCTGGCACAGCTTTTCCCTGGATCCCAGCCCGGCCCCATTGTGCATCGCAGCCCGAGTGGAACGGTCCCATTGTGGCGGCACTTCGGGAATTCTTCCCACTCCCGTGGTTGCCAGCTTGGCTTGTGGCCAGCGTGGAAACTTCCTGATGCCCCAGATCAATCATCCCCCGGCCCTAGAGACACCTCGAAGGTGAGGCCCTCTGAGCTCCCTTTGGGAGCCTCTCGCAGATCCCGAACTCTCAGGTTTGGGATTTTCAAGGGATTTTGTGGATTATGACCTCCCCTAAAACATCTCCAGGCTCCTCCAGGTGCAACATTTGCCTGTTGGGAATCCCAAAAGGGTTTTCTCCTTTTTTCCAACCCCGGCAGGGATTGGCTGTATTTCATAATTAAATAATAAATAATAAATAATAAATTTTAGGGAAACCCACGGAACCCTTATTTCAAATGTTAAAATACTCCAGCATTTAAACACTGTTAAACCCATTTTTTTGTTTTGTTTGTTGCCCCCACCCTCTTTTGTGTCCCATGGCAAGGCTGGCACGGGGCGAGGGGAACCACTGGACACCCAGACAGACACTGAACCCAGCTGGACAGACGGACAGACGGACACCGATCCCCCACACTCCTTGCGAAGGAAAACCGGGAGCTCAGCTGGACCCACGAGGTTTTTTCCCCACCTGGGGGCCACTCCGGGTCACCCCACGCCCCAAACCCCGCGCCCCCCCTGCCTCATCCCTCCAGCAGCTCCCGGGAATTCCGTCACCCACCTTCCCCAGGGAATAAAATCCCCTTTCCACGGAAGCCAGGCGGTGCAGCTGGAGAGGGAGAGGGAGAGGGGGTGGCTTGGGCCGGCCAGTGTTGACAAGGAGCCTTTTTTTTCCTGCCGTGAAACCTTTAAAATGTTGTGTCAACACGGAAGGGCTGTTTATGTTTCACCAGCCGGGAAAGTTCCCATTGACTCCGGGCTCTTTCCTCCCCCACACCGTTATTTTCTTCCCTGGGAATTTCTTTCTTTTTTTTTTTTTTTTCCTCCAAATGGGTTTTTTGGGGTTTTTTTTTTTTCTTCACCCAAGGGCAGGAGAGGAGGGATGGAGCCGCTGGGATTTGGGGTTTGCCCACCCCACGCGCTGAGCTGGGAGTTCTGGAGGGGTTTTGGGCATCCACACCCCACTGCCAGCCCTCTCCCTGTCCCCATCCCACGGGAAAGAGCAGAGCAGTGACCTGGGATAACTTCCCATCTTCACCCCGAGGATTTAACAGCAAATAGGGGAAGAGAGCTGCACCCACCGACCCTAAACCCTAAAGGGGCTCAGAGGAACATTCCCACTAAACTCGGTGGAACATTCCCATTAAACTCAGTGGAACATTCCCATATTCCCATTCCCAGATGGAGAATCCGAGGCCCAGCGAGGACGGGGCAGGACCCACAGGCGGCTCCTCCACAGCTTGTCCCAGTGTCACCCCTCATCCAGGCAGCCCCGAGTGTCCCCAAAGCCCCCCTGTGCCACCCCTGGCTCCGAGAGGACCCCGGAGGCCGCAGGAGGGAGGGGTTCATGGGGGACCCAGCGACCTCCGCGTCCCCCCGGGCTGTGCTGGCCCCAAAGCCACTCCAGGGGTGGGAGGGGACGGGAGGCGCCGTCCCCAAACTGGACGGGGACACGATTCCCAAAAGGGGCCGGGGACCCTCGCGACGGAGCCAAAAAAGAGGGAGCGGGAGCTTTGTTGGGGTCGCCATGGCAACAGCCGGGCCCGAGCGGACTTTCACTTTCCTTTCCTTCCTCGCCGGCCCCAGTGGCCACAGCGCTGGTGGCCGTCCCTGCCTGGCGGGTGCCACCCACACTGCGACCCCTCGGGGACCTGCTGGGCACCCCCAGGACCTGCTGAGCACCCCCAGGACCTGCTGGACATCCCCAGGACCTGCTGGGCACCCCCAGGACCTGCTGGACATCCCCAGGACCTGCTGGGCACCCCCAGGAACTGCTGGGCACCCCAGGACCTGGTGGGCAGGAGGTGCCAAGGCAGAGACGATGTCACACACGCTGTCCCTTTCCTTTCAGACGGGGTCACACGGGACCCGCTCAGCTCCTGCTCCCACCTGGCTGCACCTGGGCGAGGCAGCAGGATTCGCTCCCAGCCTCCCATCCCTCACTCAGCTTTCCTTCTGCCTCGCTCAGCAGCAGGAAGCCGGGACAATGGCTGGAGGGGCCGGCAGGGCCGGAGGGGCAGCGATCCCGGCGCTGCCGGAGCAGGGGGCACGCAGGGGAAAGGCACGGCCAGCGCTCGCCTTCCTTTTCCCAAGCCCCCCACCCTGCCCGGAGCCCTCGGAGCCAGCGGAGCTGAGCCTGGTGCTGGCTGGAGGCCCCCGGGCCGCAGGATCCCCGGGACTGAGTCATGGAAAGGCTGCAGACAATGGCCTGGCCCCTTCGGAACCGGCCGGAGGGGGCAAAGCCGCGAGAACAAACCCGGCCTCGCTTCCTGCACGGAAACGGAGCCATTGTTCGGGAATGGGCACGGGCTGAGCTCCTCACCGGCCTGGGAACGGCGCAGAGGGACCCTCAGAGGGGTCCCCGCAGCCATTCCTGTGTCCCCACAGTCAATCCCGTGTGTCCTCACCCGTGTCCTCATGGGAACTCCATGCCTGTGTTCTTCCGGCCATTCCTGTGCCCCTCTATCCATTCCCATGTCCCTCAGCCATCCCCATGTCCCTCAGTCATTCCCATGTCCCTCAGCCATTCCCATGATCCTGCCTTGTGTCCCTCCCATGAAAATCCCAGGATGATGCAGTGAAGGCGTTGCCGCTGCCCACGAGGTCACTGTCACCCAGCAGCACCCCGAATTCATCTCCCAGCACCCCAATTCCAGCCGGACTCCTGGCTCCCCCATCCCTGGGGGTCCCCCCGCGGGTGACCCCTCTTGTGCCAGCCCTGCCGGGGACATCCAGCTCCAGCCAGGGACCGCAGGGCAAAGTGGCACCTCTGGGACTCCATTCCCGAGCTGGCTCTCAGCCAGGCCGTTCGGATTGTCCCTGTCCCTGTCCCTGTCCCTGTCCCTGTCCCGGGGGCCAGCCCAGCCACACCCGCGAGCCAAAGCCACTGCGGGGGGGGACCCGGCCAGCCTGGCACTGTCCCCACAGCCGTGCCCATCCCGCGGGGCAGGGGCGGCTGATGCCGAGCTGGAGCGGGACAGGCGGACAGAGGGACAGAGGGACAGCGGGAGGGACAGAGGCGACGGCCGGACCACACAGCGGACCCGGAGGGGGGCGCGGCCGGGGGGCAGCGGGGGCCGAGCCCAGCCCCGACCTCCCCCGGGGTCCCGAGCCCTGCGCTGCCGCTTCAAAGGCGACACTGGCGCTGTCCCAGGGCTGTCACCCTCCGCCAGGCCGGCTCCGGCACAGCGGACCCGGTGCCACCCACGGCCCAGTGGGCCGGGCCCCTCCGGCTCAGCCCCTCCGAGGGGTTTCTTTCGTCCCCCCGCCTTTGTTTTCTATTTAGTGCTTTTGTTCCCCCCTCTTTGGTGCTTTGTTCCAGCTCGTCCTTTGTTCCGACGCCTTTGGTTTCTCTTCCCTTTGATGCTTTGTCGCTCCCTTCATCTTGGTGCTTTTCTTTCCCCGTTTTTGGTTTTTTTTTGGTTTTTTGGGTTTTTTTTTAAGCCGGCTCTTGGGTTTTCTGGGGGGTTTTTTATTGTTTTTTTTTTTTCCCCTCTCCTGCCCGCTCCGCTCTTGGCATTTTTCTCCTTTCTCCTGTCCACTCCTCGGGTCACACGGACGCGGCCCGGATTGTCTCCAAATCCCCATTTGTCTTGTTTTGGTGCCTGCATTTTGGTGCCTTTATGTCCTTTTTTTTTCTTAAGAGACTCTCAGCGATTTCTTCTCCCGGCTGCCGAGGGAAGCGGGGAGAGGGGAGGGGGGTTCGGGGCTTAATTAATTAGCGAGTGTAATCTTTAGCTGCGGGATGTGCGGAGCATCATTACGGCTGTCATTAGGGTGTTAAGGGTTAGCGAGGGTTTAAATACCAGCTAATTGCAGCCAAGAGCTCCCGACGCCGCAAAAAAAATTCCAGCGGGAAGAGCCGGGCTTTTGGGGAGAACTGGGAGAAATTCCCGACAGGGAGGATAAGAAACAGGAGCCCCCAGAGGGTAAAACGTTGCTGGGAGCAAGGAGTGCGTTCATGCCTCCCCAAAAAAAATCCTAAAATCGTCACTTCAGGGGTGTTCAATGTCGCTTTCGGGGACTCCGTGGCACGGCAGAACCCAGGGCAGCGCCAGCCCAGGGGCAAAGCCGATGCCAGGGGAGGATGGAGACGCTTCATCTGCCTTGGGGGTGGCGATTTTTTCCTGTTCCCATCACCCAGCAGGGCCAAGGAACCCTTTGGATAACGGGAATTTGGTGGGAATTTGGATGGGCGAGCTGGGGCGGGACACGGAGCGCGGCGGTGGCGCAGAGGGGGACGAGGGCTTTGATCTGAACAACCGTCCCCGAGGTTCGCAGCGGCTCGGGGCGCACCGCAAGATCAGATACCGGGATTCGGGAGCCGTTTTCCCCCAGAACGGCCCCGAACGCTTCCCTTTGATTTCGGGGCCCCAAATCCCTCCCCCTGAAAACCCTCGTGGCCTCAAGCTCTGCTGGCAGCGGGCAGGGAAGGGCACGGTGGCACCGCTGAGGTATCGCATCACCCCCAAAGCGAGCCCAGGACCCTTTCTCAGGCGCCCCAAAACCTCCATCCCGCAGGTTTCGAGCAGCTGGCGCCGCTCCCCAGCTGCTGAGGGGAGGAAGCGGCAGAAATAGCAACAGGATGTGCCCCCAGATAAGGTGATCGATATCAGAAAGCGGCGCTTTTTCAAGTCAGGGCTGAGCCCAGCTGCTCGAACAGGAGATCGGCCCCCGATAGGGGCGGCCCCGGCTTCTCGACACCCCAATTTCCCCTGTCCCAGCTCATTTTGGGTGACCCGGTGACGTTCTCGGGGTTTTGGAGGGGCGGCTGTGGGAGGAGGGGGTGGATTTCGGGGGGCAGGAGGATTCCGGGAGCTGCGGGAAGGGATGGCTGGTTTGTGGGATGTCCAAAAGAGATCTGGGTGGATCCAGAGGTGTCTAACACACCCCAAAAGTGCTGGGGGGTAACCGTGACCCGCAGCACGACATTCCTGGGATGAGCCAGGCAGTGGGAGACAGCTGGGAAGGTTCCAGAGTTGGATTTTTTGGGAAACAGCCGGATGAGACCTCCACGATCCCACAAATCAGCTCAGGCACAGCTGGAGCTCTCCATGGGAGAGCAGCCTCCTCCCATGGCTCATCCCGAGGGTGAGGAATTCCAGGGAATGGGCACACGCAGGAGGGCACAGAGCAGCCCCAAACAGTTCCTGCCGGCCCCAATCCCACAAGGAAAAACGGGAGCTGCCCTCCCGCCCTTCTCGGGGCCCTAGGAGCGCCAAAACCGAGCTCGGTGCTGCCGGGGATCAACCAGGACATCCCAGGGACATCCCAGGGACATCCTCACCCCTCTTCAGAGCCCTGAGCTGCACATTGTGCCCCCCAAACTGTGCCACCGCCTCGTGTCACCGGGCCCGGGTGACTTTTCGGTGGCCGAGGGCTCCCAGCCCAGCCAGCACTTCCAGAGGTTAAAAACCAAAGCGCTCCCAACGAAAGGAGCCGGCAAAACCCATCGTGCAGGTCTGCCCGGTCCCGCGGTCGGGCTGCGAGCGAGGCTGTTCAAATGCAAACTCGGGCCCGATAAAGCCTGGATTGCCCGTCCTAAAATCCCGGCGGCTCCCGCTGCGCCGTGGCCCGGCCTGGTGACACCGGCTGATGCCACCAGCTCCCCTGGCATTGTCACCAAATCACCCTCAGCTCTGCCCCGTCCTCCAAAAGGCTGAACCTGTTTTTATGGCAGAGCTGGCACAGGGAAAGCTTAACAAAAAAAAAAAAAAAAAAAAACCAACCAAAGGAAAAAAAACCCCTGATCTCTGTATCTGCAGCCATGCAAGGAATATTGTTCAGCGCAGCACAAAAGCATCCCTGAAAATAGAAGCGCCAGGGCCAGGCCTGCCAGTGGCTGTGTGAGATAACGTCTACTTGCAAACAGTGTGTCTTTGTGCCGCTGTCACTGTCCCCATTGTTCAGGAGCCTATTGCCTCGGGGATATTGTTCCCTCCTTTTGTCTCAGCCCGGCTCCTTTTTGTTTGACTTTACTTTACCATTTCATTCCTCTCCTTTGTGGCGCCGTTCTTGCTTTTGTCTCTCTCTCTCTCTCTCTCTCTCTGCCTTTTCTCTCGCTGATTTGTATTTAGCGATTGTTCCCGGCTCGCAGCGAGCACAAAGTGCTCCCGGCTCTTTTCTCACTCCATTCATTCCCTATTCAGGTGCGTCTGTTTGCCCATAGGTACCGGCAGGAGCTGGGTTTAGGGGGGATGCGGGATTTTGGGGGGTCCTGGGAGCCCGCAAGGGGCGCTGGAGGCTGCTGGTGGCCTTTGGGGACAGCCAGCTCCCCGCGTCCCCCATCCCAGCGCCAAAAAAACACTGTGAAAAGGACAAATGAGACCGCAGGTGGCCCCAGAGGAGCGGCCGAGGATGCTGCAGGGACACGGGGGTGGCACCGGAGAGGTGGCCGGGCGCGGTGCCACCAGGGCGGCACCGGGACCCCAGAGCGGATCCGAGCCCAGCCGAGCAACCCCGACCCTGGAATTGGCGTTCCCGAGTCCCCACAGCCCTGGATCTCCACCAGCCCTGCGTTTTGGGAGCCTGTGGAGGCACAGGGAGAGCATTCCACGGCCTCTCCCCTTCCTGATCCGCGGCTGTGCCCTCCCAGAGGGACCTTGGGGGTGGCAGGGTGGGCACCACCCGCCCCGGTGCCCCCCAGCCGGGACAGCGGGGTGGGATTCACCCCCCTGCTCCTCCGGGGGACCACAGGGAGAGCGGCTGGATCCTCGGGGGTGGCCGGAGGTGGCCTGGGGACATCTGGGGAGCGGCTCAGAGGCTGCCGGGGTGCCCCAGGCCCCGCAGGATGGGGGGCACCCCCTGTCCCCCACCCCGTGCTGCCTCCTCCGCGGCGCTGCAAGGCGGGCTCGCTCCCAGCGCCGCGAGGAGGAGGAGGAGGAGGACTGGGATTCGGATTCCCCGGGAATCCTTCAGGGCGAGCTGACAAGCGGCCACCCCCGGAGACAACAAAGCCCCGCTGTTCTCCGGGCACGGCCCGCGTGACCCGACGGGACTTTTCCATCCCCTCCCCGCCGCCGAAACCCCGAGGATGGGAGAGAAACCTCCTCCTTCTGCTGCTGCTGTGCCGGGCACACCCCACCCGAGGGGGACAGACCCCCGAGACTCACCCCGGCTGCGAGGGACCGAGCGGGACGAGGGGACAGCGAGCGGCGACCGCGGTGGCTGCTCGGGGCCAGCGGGAGCCCCCGGCCCCAGCCGGTCCCGGGGCCGCGGGGGGGGCGTGGAATGAATTCCCTGGGAATGGAGGGAGCAGACTGAGGGCCATTGTCTCATTGTTCGGGCTTCAAAGGACAATGGGGCATTGTTGTCCCTGGGGATCCCATTGTTTGCTCTCCCTGCAGATCCCGGCCGCGCACGGAGCTTTCCCGAGGGCCGGCTCCGTGTGTGGGACGCTCGAGAACAACGAGGCAGGAATGTTTTTCCTTCCCCACCCCCTTTTTTTTGCCTGGAAAAGCTCAGCCCGGCCCGGGCAGAGGGGCTGGGAGCACCCAGAGACCCCCAGACCCTGCAGGGATGGGCTGAGAGCGGGGGGAATTCATTCTCCATCCCTCCATCCCTGCAGATTCCAGGGCGAGGGCGCAAAACCCAGCCGGGATTTTGGTGGGAGACGAAACCGCTTCTGCCTGCCGGAGCATCCAGCTGGCAATATCCCGATTTTCCATCGCTCGGATCCCCCAGCCCCAAATCAGGGGTTTGACCCCTGCAGAGCCCAGGAAAAGCTCCCGGGCACCGCCAGAAGCGCTCGGGAAGGGCCAGCCCGGGCCGGAGCGCTCCCGGTGCATCCCGGGGCAGATTCCCACGGCTGCTCCCTCGGGAAAATTCAACCGAGGCGCCGGGCAAAGGCTGCGGGAGGGGGAAGGAGCAGGATTCCAGGAGAGGGGAAGGAGCGGAATTCCAGGAGCGGGGAAGGAGCGGAATTCCAGGAGCAGAGGAGTGGAATTCCAGCCCCTCCGCAGCTCCTGGATGGAGCAGGAACAGGATCCGCTGTGCCCAGGGACGCCCCTGCTGCTCCCAGCAGCCGGGAAAGGCAGGAATTCCAGCCGGGATGAGCCCCGCGGCGACAAACCCAGCCTGGGGGATAAACCCAGCCTGGAGAGGCCCAGATCAAGCTCAGCTCAAAAGCAAAGGCAGCAGAAAAATCCAAGGAAAAGGTTTTGGGAAAAGCGGTGCCCCCTTGGAATCTCTGCCCTGCTCCTCCTCCTCATCCCGGGAATTCCTGCCGGGATTGGGATCGCGGAGAGCCGAGCCCGCAGCTCCCCCTTCTGTCCGGAGCCCTCTGGAAGTTTTTTCCCCGTTCTGGCAGGAATTTGGGATGCTCCAGGCAGAATTCCCGCGGCTCGGGAAAGGAATCCCAGCTGGGAATGCTGGAAGGGGTAAAAATCCCGGGATCCGCCCCCGGGTGAGGCAGAGCCTGGGGAAGTACCGGGAAGGGATTTCTTGGGAAAAATGGATTTGATTTTGGGATAGAGATTGCTTTTGGGGGAAAAACGGATTATTTTGGGGAAGATGGGACTGGTTTTGGAAAAAGGGATTTTTTGGGAGAAAGGGATTTGTTTTGGGAAAGAAATGATTCTTTTTGGGAAGAAGGGACGGGTTTTAGAAAGAAGGGATGGATTTGTGGAACATGGGATTGCTTTTGGGATAAAGGGCTTGGCTTGGGAAATCCTGGAAGCTCCAGGATCCAATCTCACAAGGAAAAACCCCTGGAAAAATACTTCCCCCCAGTCTTGAGACAGAAATCCCATCCCCAGGTTTTGTCAAAAAACATTTTTATTTCCCAAAGCCCCAAACTACAAAACAGAATTCCCAAAGAAAGCGCGGGGAGTTCCAGCTCCGGCTCATCCCGGTTTTCCAGAGCTCCCAATCCCGATTTTCCAGCTCGATCCTAACTGGAGACGCTCTGCAGGAGGGTGATGTTGTCCCCCTTCAGCATGATCCGACCTGGAATCACGATCAGGGAATGTGGGAATTAATGCTTTGGGACAGACCCCGCCCTCCCCACAGCTGGATTCCACTCCCAACCCTCCATTTTCAGCTCCAACACCTGGATTTGAGGTCCCACATCTGGATTTTGGGGCTCCCCACATGGGTTTTCATGTCCCACACCTGGACTGCAGGTGTTACACCATGATTTTAGATCCCAAACCTGGATTTCATGTCCCACACCCCGGTTCTGGGATCCCACAGCTGGATTCCATGTTCCAACACCTGGATTTTAGGCTCACACCTGGATTTAAGGTCCCACATCCAGGTTCCAGAATCCCACAGCTGGATTTCAGGATCCCACACCCAAATTTCCCATCCCACACCCAGATTCCAGGCTCTCTACCCCCCCTGACCTACCCAGCTGCTTCCTGGACTTGGTTTTGGAGTGAATTTCCTCAGCATCGTCCAGCACCAGGTTCATGTACTCGTCAAAGCCCTGCAAGAGCAGCACCAACCTCAGCCAGGCACCTCAAACCCCCAAAAACCCACAATTCCCAGGAGAAACAGGAACATTCCCACCCCTACACTGCTTTTTTTTCATGGAAAATGAGGAAGAAACGGGGAAAAAAGCAGAGGGGTGACAAAAGGACAGTGGCACTCACGATGATGCAGCCTTCTATCCTCATGTTCACCTGCTCATAGAGCCACACCTGGATCCTGGATCTCTGGAAATCGTGGAGAGGGAGAGAAAAGCAGGGATGGGAACAGCTGAAGGAGTTTGGCTCCCTCGCTGTCCCCAGCTCGGAGGGATCTCTGCTCTGTCCTCGGGTGTTTTAAGGTTCCTCCCCACCCCAAGCCAGTGTGGGGTTTCATGGGAATATCCCATGGGATTGCAGCATGGAGGAGCACCCTGCACTCCTCTCCTGTTTAAATGATTTTAAACGGAAAGAAACGGGATGGAGATCGGATATTGGGAAGGAATTTCCTTCTCTGGGAGGGTGGGGAGGGGCTGGAATGGAATTCCCAGAGGATCCATGGCTGCTCCAGCCCTGGAAGTGTCCAAGGCCAGGTTGGACAGGGGATAAAAGGGATAAAAAGGGTAAAAGGGATAAAGTGGATAAAAAATTGATAAAAAGGAGAAAATGGCAGCCTGGTATAGTGGGAGGTGTCCCTGCCCATGGGATTGGATGATCCCTTCCAACCCAGACCATTCCAGGATTCCCTGTGCTGCTTTGGGTGGGATATTGGGAATAAATCCTTCCCTGGGAGGGTGGGGAGGGGCTGGGATGGAATTCCCAGAGGATCCGTGGCTGCTCCATCCCTGGGAGCGTCCCAAGCCAGGCTGGGATGGGGAAGGTGTCCCTGGCCGTGGGATGGTGGCACTGGATGGGATTTGGGCTCCCGAACCCCGCGCTGCAGCCGGGCCGCGCTGCCGCTACTCACATTCTGCAGGTATCGGAAGATCAGGTTCTGGAGCCGAGGGTTAAAGGCACAACACAAGCAGGAGCTCCCGGGCACGGCACCCGCCACCCCCGGCATCACCCGCGCCCCCCCAGAGCTACACCCGATCCCGCTGAGGGGGAACCCGCGGCGGTGAAAGCCGCGATTCCCCTGCACGGAGCCGCTCCTCCGGGGACTCCCGCACCCTCCCCGGCCGCCCCGCGCTCCGCCGGCGCCTTGAGGGGCTGGAGGCAGGATACGATGGGCTGCACCATCACCTTCTGCACCTTCTGGCCCTGCCCGCGGTACGCCATGGCTGCGCGGGGCCGCGGGGCGCGGCGGGATGGCGGCGGTGTGAGGGGAGGGGACGGAGCGCGGGGAACGGTGGGATGGCGGCGCCGTGAGGGGACGGAGCGCGGTGCACTGTGGGATGCAGTGGGATGGATGTGGGATGGCGACGCTGTGAGGGGAGCGGGGCACTGTGGGATGGAGGCGGTGTGAGGGAAGGAAGTGCGCGGTGCAGGGTGGGATGGCGGCGGTGTGAGGGGACAGGAGGCGTCCCGTGAGGGGACGGAGCGCGGGGAACGGCGGGATGGCGGCGGTGTGAGGGGAAAGAAGCTCGCGGGGGGCACGGTGGGATGGCGGAGCTGTGAGGGGAGCAGGGCACGGCGGGATGGCGGCGCTGTGAGGGAAAGAAGCGCGCGGTGCACGGTGGAATGGCGGCGCTGTGAGGGGAGCGGTGCACGGTGGAATGGCGGCGCTGTGAGGGGACGGAGCGCAGCGCACGGTGGAATGGCGGCGCTGTGAGGGGAGCGGTGCACGGTGGAATGGCGGCGCTGTGAGGGGAAGGAAGCGCGCGGGGGACTGTGGGATGGCGGCGCTGTGAGGGGAACAACTCGCGGTGCACTGTGGGATGGCGGCAGACTTTTCCTATTTTTTTTTATCATTATATTTAGTTTGTTCTTTTATGCTGTTAGTAGAGGTTTGCTTTTTTCCCGCTATTATTTAAAGTATTATTTTCTTTGTTTTTAATAACAATTCATAGGAAAAAAAAATCAATTAAAATATTCCCCTGGCTCTGAGCTATAGCAGAGCCTTCAGGTGCCCGGCTTTAAAATCGAGCGGCTTTTTGTGCTCTTACAGGCAAGTTTTGCTGTTCATTTGTCACAGAAGGTCACAAAAATGTGAGAAGCCAAAGTCACTGAAATATCCCCCATCCCTCCTGTCCCTGTTCCCTGGGATAAGATCCCAAATTCCCCCTGAGCCTCCTTTCCTCTAGGCTGAGCCTTCCCCAGCTCCCTCAGGATTCTCCAAACCCTTTCCCTTCCTCTGGATGATCCCACAACCCCACCCACTGCTCCTGTGCCTCATTAATTTCTAATTAACATAAATCCCAACCTGTTTGATCCCATTCCTTCAATAAACCATGGAAAGCAGAGAGCTCTGCATGGACACCAGAGTGAGCAGCCTACCTTTAATCCCTTAAATAGAATCATACAAATATAAAATGGAAGAATAAAATATTTACAGGGAGAAAAAAAACAAAAACCCCAAAAACCACGGGGATTCCACCCAATCCCATCTCCAAGAGGCTGGAAAAGAGGGAAGCAGCCAAAGGAGGAACATTCCAAGTGCTTTTCCTTCCTCCCAAAATGATCCCGGCCGTGTGTGTGGGAGGCTCATTCCAGTCCTTCGGCAGGGAGGGATCCTCAGAAGCGAGAGGCACTTGAAGCAATCCTCCTTTTCCCAAATTCCTGCAGGCAGCCAGGAGGAATTTTGGCTGCCTAGCCCAGGATCCCGGTGCCATCATGAAAAAAATCCGCCCCCGGCTCATTCCGAGTCAGGCTCTCGTCCTGGCAGAGTTTGGTCCAAAATCCCGACTCGGCTGCTCCCTCTCGTGGTTTTTCCTCAATTTCCCCCAATTCCGAGTCCAGAGGCAGCGTCCATCCGGCAGTTCCAGAGTTGACATAGTAACTCCAGCATTTTTGGGATTCACTGTCCAGGAGGGAGCTGGGATGGCTCTGGAGATGGGATCCGTGTCCTCCCGCCACCCCGAGGGAATTCCAAGTGCTTTGTCCTGTCCCGTGCGGGACAAACTCCCCGGAATTTCGGGATAACTGAGTGCAGACTCTGCCTATTCCTAACAATCCAACTGTGCTTCCAGCTGGGAAAAAGGATCCCCTCCACAGATCCAACAATATTTACAGGATATGGGGGGACGAGGGTGGGGGCGGAATTTTGCCTTTTTTTTTTTTTTTTTTTAGGAATTTTTTTTTTTGGTGTCGCGTTTTTTTTCCGCTTCTTTTTTAAAAAAAAAAAAAACAAAACAAAAAAACCAAACTCCCCCTCTCAGCTGTCAATCATCTCCGAGAGTTCCAGCAGGAGATCATCCTCATCCTTCCCTGGATCCAGGTCGATTTCTGCTTCCAGTTTTCCCCCGGAGATCTCCCAGATGAGCTTCTCGAAGTCGTCCTCCATGGACAGGGCGGGTTTGGCGGCGCCGGCGGAGCTCAGGCGCCGCAGCTTCACCGGCACCTCCAGCGAGGAAGAGGAGAAGGAGGAGGAAGATCCGGACACCTCCGACTGTGCCTGAGATTCCCCCTGGTTGCCAGCCTGCAGCTCGGGGCTGGGGAAAACAGGGAGAAGGGAAAAATCAGCATGGGAGGTCACTGAGGTGGAGATGGACGCTTGAGTTTTACACTGGGGTGGGGATTCCGGGGGTTTTGGGGATGGGTTGAGAGGCTGGGATTGGTTTTGGGGGAGTCCTGGATTGGTTTTGGGAGTCCAGGATGAGTGGGGTCGATTCAGGGTTTGGGGATTTAGCCAGGAGGAAACACAGCTGGAATGTGGGGGGAAAGAGGAAAGAAGGAACCCCAAAGTCACTAGAAAAAAATGCAGAAAGTCAATAAAAGCTTATAAAGCTACTGGGAAGAAATCCCAAAAAAAATCACTAAACAGAAACCCCAAAGGTCACTGGAAAGAAATCCCAAAAAACCACTGAAAATAAACCTCAAAGGCACTGAAAAAAAAAAAACCAAAAAGTCACAGGGAAGAAATCCCACAAACTCACCAAAACCCCAAAAGTATCACTGGAAAAAACTCCTCCAAAGTCACAGGGAAAAAACCCCAAAAGTCACTGAGAAAAAACCCCAAAAGTAACTGGGAAAAAAACCCCAAAAGTCACTGGAAAAAAACCCCAAAAGTCACTGGAAAAAAACCCAAAATCACTGGGAAAAAACCCCCAAAAGTCACTGGAAAGAAATCCCAAAAAGCCCCTGGGAAGTTTTGTCCAAGTTCAGCGTTTGAAGGAAACCCAAACCAGCTCTGCTGCACATACAGGAATTCCAAAAATTCCATTCCAGCTTCCTCTGCTGGATTTTGATTCCCTCAAACCTGGAATTTCTAACTCGTGGTCACCCTCCCATCCCATTCCTGGGATGAGGAAGGAGAAGGAAAAGCTGGGATTTGGGATTACCTCTTCTGGGAATTCTCACTCCGAGGTTTGGAGCCCGGGCTGTCCTCTGGAGAAGCGGGAACAACAACCTGGGAATGAGGAGCACGACAATTTTTATGGTATCAAACCCCCAAATTTTAGGATTCTTCTTCACCTGAAGCAGAGAATGCCCAAAATAAAGAATTTTCTTTTTCTTGAAGGAATTTTTACCTCGGAACGGACAAAAACCTAAAATCCTAAAAAAACCCCTAAAATCCCAGCAGGGAATCCTTGAGCTGCTTCCAAAGCAGGAATGTGCTGCTCCTGAGGTGAAAAGGGATGGGAGAGCTGGAGGAGGTTTAAATTTTCCAGGTTTTTTTGGGAAGCAGGGGGGGTTTTGGGGCTCACCTGGGCTGAGGGCTCCGGGGTGGCCGCGCTGGTGGCACCGAGTGGCCGCACGGCCACCACGGCCGGGCCCTCGGGGCTCTTCCTCTTCAGGGGCTGCCTGGCCGAGGCTGGGCCATCCAGAGGCTTCAGGCACACCTTGGATTTGGCTGGAATGCAGGGAAAAGGTGGAATGATGCAGCTTGAGGGAAAAAGGAAGCCCCAGGTTTTGTTGATAAGCACCAAATTCCAGGCTGGGTTGGGGTAGGATCAGGCAGGGGCACCCTCTGTGCTCCAGGGATGCTCCCAAGGTGATCCAGCCTGGCCTTGGGCACTGCCAGGGATGGGGAAACCAGGGATTCTCTGGGAATTCCATCCCATTCCCTCAGCACCTTCACAGGGAGAAATTCCTGCCCAAAATCCCTCCCTTTTCCCATTTTAAATCCAGTCCCTGTGTCCTGTCCCCCTGCTCTTTATCCCAAAACTCTCCTGGAGCTCCTTTTTCTCCTGGAAGGAGCTCTCAGCTCTCCCTGGATCCTTCTCCAGGTGAACATTCCCAACATTCCCACCTCCACAGCTCCAATCCCCGCAAACATTCCCAACCCTCTTCATCCTGCGGGCACCATTCCCACCAGGAATTCCCACATTCCCTGGACACAACCCACGGATATCTCCCAGCAGGGAACAACCCCAGCTGCCTCCCACTGGAATTCTTCCATCAATCCCTGCTCCCAGAACATTCCCAAAGGGAACACCCAACACCTACTTCTGGTTTTCCTCTCGGGCAGCTGAGCTCCCTTTTTCCCTGGATCTTTCTCCGGGCTTCCCGCTGCATCCTCCTGGGATTTCCCCACTTTCCTCCTGCCCAGCTGATGAGCTGATCCCACAGCAGACTCGGGGCTCCCAGATCCCGGGGTTTTCTCCTTGTTTTTCTCCTGTTTTTCAGCTGGAATTGCCCCGGCTCCTTTCTGGAGTTTCTCCTCCTGGCGTTGTTTCAGCTGACGTTTCTCCCACATGATTTCCTCCAGGCTCTTCACCTGAATTCCAGAATTCCCTGAGTTCTGAGAAGGAAAAAAATAAACAACCCCAAGAGGGTTATTAGGGTAAAAATCCATGGATAAAATTCCATGGATTCACTAAGGAATTTTGGGCAGCAATCCCTTCAAAATGGCTCCGTGTGACAACATTAAAATCCACCTTTTTTTTTTTCCAGGATCCCTCCTGTGGAAATGCACTTTTAAAACTGCAATTCCCAAAAAAACCCCAAGTCTTCATGGAGCAGAAGGCTCTGCCTGTAGCCTATCCAATCTTTTTAGGGAATATAAAACAATCCAAGCTCCTCCATGGAGCCTGATTTCCTCTAAAATTCCAACTTTTTGGGTTGAAATATCCAGCTCAGGATTTTAAAAATGGGAAAAAAAAAAAAAAAAAAAAAATCAGGGAAAAATCACTGAAAAGAAAAATCTTTTGCCCACCTCTGGTTTTTATTGTCAGGTATAATCTAAATAATTCATTAATTAGTAATGAATTAATTTAAAGGGAGGATTTGTTTCTTGGGAATTTTCCCTACAGCATTTAGGGTTTCACCACAATCCCCCAACGAGGAAAAAACAGGGAGCAGGAAGCAAAAAATGCCAAAATTGTTGGGAAAATTCTTATTTTATGCCCAAAATGCTCAGAAATTCAATTTTTGATGAGGAATTTGTTCACTCACCTCAGCAGGCGCAGAGACCCCTTTGGGAGAAGGTTTGTTCAGCTCCACAATCATTTTTTCTTCTCTTCCAGGTGCTTTAATCCAGGAAAAAAACATCCAAAAATTGTTTTTTTGGTTTATTGGGGGGGTTATTTCCCTATTTTTATGAACAGGAAGCAATTCCTGCAGGATTTTCTCTCTTCTTCAGTCCCATTGTGGATTAAATAATAAAGGATGAAATTTTTTAATACCCTTGTGCTGATAAATCCTTCACAAATAATATTCCAAAGGGGAATGGGATGGATTCCAGCACAGGGAAGACCCCACCTCATAAATCCAAGGGCAGAAAAAAGATGGAATTTACACCAGAAAGCTCTTTAAAGAATTAATTTTCCAGTGGGAAACACAGGAAGCTATCATGGAATTCATGGAGACTCCCGTGATCCTTTTAACTCTGGAAGAAATTAATTTTCCTCAAGGAAACTATCATGGAATTAATGGAAAATCCCACGATCCTTTTAACTCTGAAGTCTGGAAGCTCAAGGAATGAGTCTTCCAGTGGGAATTCATGGAGAATCCTGTGATCCTTTTAAAACTCTGAAACCCTTTCAAACGCACCCAGAAGGACAAATCCAAGCGGTTCCTGAGCCAACAGGATTCATTCCCGGGGGGAAGCAGAATTCCCAGGGGGGAAGCAGAATTCCCAGGGGGGGGAAGCAAAATTCCCACGGTGGGGGAAGCAAAATTCCCACGGTGGGGGAAGCAAAATTCCCAGGGGGGGAAAGCAGAATTCCAAGGGGGGAAGCAGAATTCCCAGGGAGGGGAAGTACAATTCCCAGGGGGGGAAGCAGAATTCCCGGGGGGGGAAAGCAGAATTCCAAGGGGGGAAGCAGAATTCCCAGGGAGGGGAAGTACAATTCCCAGGGGGGGAAGCAGAATTCCCGGGGGGGGAAAGCAGAATTCCAAGGGGGGAAGCAGAATTCCCAGGGAGGGGAAGTACAATTCCCAGGGGGGGAAGCAGAATTCCCGGGGGGGGAAAGCAGAATTCCAAGGGGGGAAGCAGAATTCCCAGGGAGGGGAAGTACAATTCCCAGGGGGGGAAGCAGAATTCCCGGGGGGGGAAAGCAGAATTCCCAGGGAGGGGAAGCACAATTCCCAGGGAGGGGGGAAGCACAATTCCTAGGGTGAAAGCAGAATTCCCAGGGGAGAAGCAGAATTCCCAGGGGGGGAAGCAGAATTCCCGGGGGGGGAAAGCAGAATTCCAAGGGGGAAGCAGAATTCCCGGGGAGAGGAAGCAGAATTCCCAGGGGGGGTAAAGCAGAATTCCAAGGAGGAAGCAGAATTCCTGCTCACCTACGAGCTTGGTGACCCGGAGCAGCTTCCTGCCCCTCAGGGCTGCCTGGGGTTGGCCGGGAGGGGCCGGGCCGTTCTCCCCGCCCTGCTGCATCCTCAGCGCCTTCTCCCTCTTGATCTCCTCCAAGGTTTTGATCCGAACCTCTCCGGTTCCTTTGGCTCTTCCCGGCTCCGCCGGCTGCGCCCTGCCCGGCATTGCTGGAGCAGGAATGTTCTGTTTCCTGGGACCGGCCTCAGCTTTGGCCCTGCTGGGGAATTCCTCGGGTTTTTCCTTCTCCTCTCCCAACCTTTTGTGGTTTTTTTCCGCCAGGGCTCCCGCCAGGGATTTGGCGCGGGCGGCCGGGGAGGGTCTCGCTCCCGAATCTTCCGTTTTCCTGCTTTCTCCTGAGATTTTGGCTGGGGGCTCCCCTCGCCTCTGGTTGGCTTTTTCCAGCCGGATTTCCTCCAGGGTTTTCACCCGGATCTCCTCGATGGGCTTGGCAGCTTTGTCTGTGGGCAGAGACATCGAGGCAGGAAATGAGAGAGAGCTCAGGAGTGGGAAATGTTCCCAGAATTCCTCCCAGCAATGAGGGAGTTGGGGATTGAGGGCTCTCAGTGCTCCTTGGACTTTAAGGATGATCCAGGGATATCTTTCCCTATCCCAGAGTGCTCCAGCCTGGCCTGGGACATTCCCAGGGATGGAGCAGCCACAGCTCCTCTGGGAATTCTATTCCAGCCCTTCCCAGGGAAGGATTCCTTCCCAAAATCCCATCTAAACCTGCTCCCCATCAGTCTGCCCCTCCATTCCCTGGGAATATTCCCTGTCCACCTCTCCTGCAGGTTCCCCTCAGGCCACAGTGAGATCATCCCAAAATTCAGGAATCCCAATTCCCTGAACAACCAACATCCCTCCCGCCTTTAAACCACTTGGATTTGGAACATCAGAGCCAGTCATCCTTTGAAATTCCCAATTTAAGGCTGTGTGGGAGTTCTTGGGAAGAAAACAAAAAAGGAGGGATATTTCAAATCTCATCTTTACCTGTCTCGGTGCTGCTCTGCTCTGAGGGCAGCCCCAGCCTCTCCTTCAGAGACTTCAGGACTTGAACTGAAAAACAAGAGGAAAAGTTAACAAGTGGCAAAAAAATCCCAGTTTTGGGTGGGAAATGAGACAGGAGAGAACCTCAGTGGGATTCAGAGCGACCCTGAACCCTCAATCAACAGGCAAAAACAGCAAGAGAAGAAAAGAGGAACAGAAAATCCAAAGGGAAAACCTGGACAGGAAACCCAGACAGAAGTCCTAACAGAAAAAAAACCTTGACAGAAAATCCCAAACACAAATTCCCAACAGAAATTCCATGGTTTTGGTACCTGTGCCTCTCTTTGGGGCCTTGTCAGCGTTGCCCTGCAGCTCTGCCTTCCTCCCCAGCCTGTCAGCAACGTTCCTCCTCAGGGGAAGGAAAGTTTTCCCAGCTTCAAAAAGACACAAAATGAGGAATTCTTTCAGAATATTCCCCTGCAGGAGGGTTTAGAACAATCCCCCAGGAACTTGAATCCTCATAGATGAATTTTTAATTTAATTTTTAAATTAAATTAAATTTTTAAGTTTTTATTTGCTATCAGAATTTGCTGGTTTTGATGTAAATACTCCCCAAAAAGCTCTCACCTGTGAGGGTTTTCCTTTTTCCCAGTCTGTCAGGAATGTTCAGCTGGATCACGGGGTCCTCCCCTAAAACAGGGAATAATAATCTTTGCAGTGCACCAAAAGCGTTCCCAATCCCCTCATCCCAAAAAAATGACATTTTCTGGCTGCCAAAACACAGGAACTGAAGAAGGACTGGGAGGAGAAATGATTTTGATGATAAAACTTCCTGAGCTTTAATTCCAAACAAATTCCCAACTTTTCCAACACAAATTAAAATTGGGAAAGGCAGCAGCACATCTCAATTATCCTAATTAGAAAGAATTTGATTTAGGGGAATGGGAATTTTGGGGTTACCTTCCTTGGAGGAGAGGGTCACAGTTCTCAGCACGGTCCGGACGTTTTCCTTCTCTGGCACGGGAATGCTCCGGGCTTGGAGGGGATCCACAGCCACTCCTGAAGGACCTTCTGCATGGAAAAATCAGGATATTCAGCAAATTCCCCTTGGATTTCCCCTTGGAATTCCAAACAGCTCTCAATGCCAGAGCAGCCCCTCCAAAAACATGGAAGTGTCCCTGCGGGATCTCTCAAGTTGTAAAAAAAAATACCTTCCCTTGTGAATTATCCAAGGAAAATCAGGATTAAACCCAAGGATGAACAATGAAGGATAAGGAAGGAGGGATTTGAGGGATATTAACTCACCACCTTGTTTTTTGGCTTTTTCCTTGAGTTTCTTCAGTTTGATCTCTTCCAAGGTTTTTATCCCGAAATTTAAGTTGTCATCTGGAAGCACAAAATAGTTCAGGATATTGAGGTAAATCCTTCCCAAAATATTGGGAATAAAACCTGCCAACACTCGCCAGGAATTAACCAGCCCCAGAACAGGTGGGGTTTTGGAAAAGTGGCAGCTTTTTTTTCACCCTCCAGGAGAAAATCCACACACTTTTTGGAGCACAAATTCATGGAGAGGGATTAAAGATTGCTGTATTCCTTAGATCTGGATTTCCACAATGCCTGAAGGGACGTTTTCAGCTATTTAAACTCTTTAAACTCCACCTAAACTCTTTAAACTCCATCTAAACTCTTTTAAACTTCACCTAAACTCTTTTTAATCCCATTTAAACCCTATTTTGTCCCACAAAACTAAACCAGGAGGATTTTCCCTGTTTTGGGAATGTGATTAGGTGGGAACGAGCTCCTGGATTCCACTCAGCATCCCTGGGTTCCATTTTATTTTAGGAATATTTTGGTTTTAATTGCCAATTTCTCCTCCCACAGCTCCTGGAATACCTTGCTTTGCACTGGGGTTGGGTTTCCTGGTGGAAATCACCCTCAGCCCGTTGTGGCTTTCTGTGGGTGGTGCCTGGACTGGGGTTTTGGTTTCTTCTCCTTCTTCAGAAAGCTGGTCTGGAAAGGGAAATTAAACCCAAAATTAAATCATTTATGGAGTAGAGATTTAGACCAAATTTCTTTCATTTTTAAGTGGTTTAATATCTCAACCCATCCAAATATTTATGCCTCTTCTCTGAGGCTGAAACCGCTGCGCAATTCACCAATTTTGTGATTTGGATCTCGATTTAAAGCGGAAATAACAGAAATAAATTTAAGATTTCTCACCATCATCATCTTCATCATCATCTGCAGCATTGATGACCACTGGGGGATGGGTGGGACTGGGGACATTCTCTGAGTTTTCCACCTTCATCACCCCCCTGAGCTGTGGGGAGGGGTTGGACTGGACCGAGAGTTTGTTCTGCTGCAGCTGCACCATTTTCACCTCGTCCTCTGCAGCCTCAGGGGGGCTCGGAAGAGTGGCTGGAAAAGGAAAAATATTCCAAACTTTGACCCTGAAGTTGAAAATCTGATAAAAGAACACATCTGGGTTCAGTTCTTTATTCCCCACCCATAAAGGGATTAAAGGAGAAGGGAAAAGGAGCCTTGAAAACAAAAATCACCAAAGAGAGAGCAAGAAAAAAATTCCAAAAATCAGAATTTCACTCCATTCCCCTGACTACAAACTGCCCTTCAGCCATAAAATAAATCCTTGAGCCTCCACATTCAATTTTATGGAATATTCACCATGAATTCTTGGGTATTTTGAGGAAAAAGGAGGTGGAAAACTCACTTTTGCTGGGGGGAAGGAAGAGCCCGTCCACGTAGCGCCCCTTGGTGTGGTGGAAAGCGCAGTTGTGCTTCTGGCAGCCTCCAGGTTGGTTCTCCCAGTAACAGGCGATCTCACTCCGCTTTTTCTGATGGAAAAAACACAAATCCAAGCTCAGAATTCCCCCTTGGATCTGCAAACTCACTCAGTTTGTCAACAGGGTGAAGTTCATTGCGAAGAGCAATGAATAAAAATATTTCAGGGTGTAGAGACAAGGTTTGGGAGGCTGGGGAAATGGAATTTATCTGGATTTATTTCCTATCATTCAGCTGGAAAAGACAGGGCATTGAGTTAAATGAATACAGAATTCAAAACAATGGGATCATTCACAGGGAAACATTTCAGTTTTCAGCTTTCAATTGCTGGTGAAATTCACCTGACTTTATCTTTCAGAGTTTTAGCTCTTTCCCATCATTTTCTTTTCCCTCCCTGCCCTGTATAATTCCAAGAGCTCAGGTTTAAAGTTTGGGGCAGAAATCCAGAGAAATTCCAGCTCTCAGGAATCTGTTTCCCACCACTTTTCAGGAGTGGGATCCAAGTGGGTGCTCTGGCAAAAATGTTGGGAATAACAGCATTTAATACAATCATTTCCTCCTGTGAAACAACTTAAAAAATTCATTTTTTCCTGTCCAACTCCCAAAATCCCTGCTGGAAAAGGTAATTTATCCCCCCCTACATCCCTGGGAAGCTCTGCCAGGGATTTTTTGGGATTTGGGAGGATTTTTAGGGAGCACTCACATCGATTTCCATGTGCCTGAACCTGCAGACATTCCTGAAGCACCGGCCCTCCTGCCACAGGGTGCACACGGTCTCGCTGCCCAGGGCGGCCTCGCAGTGGCGGAAGGCACAGGAATCTCCCTGAAATTCCCAGGAAATCAGCAAAAAACAGGGAAAAAAAACCCCCATTCAGCTTCAAAATATAAACAGGTTTGGAAAGGAGAATAAACAGGTTAAAAAAAAAAAAAAACATGGGATGGGAAAGCAGAGAGGTTAAAAATTGGAATGGGATAATAAAAAAATGGGATGGGAAAGCAGAGGGGTTAAAAATGGGATGGGAAAAGCACATAGGTTAAGAATTGGAATGGGAAAGTAACAAAAAAATGGGATGGGAAAAGCACAGAGGTTAAAAATTGGAATGGGAAAAGCACACAGGTGAAAAAAATGGGACGGGAAAAGCACAGAGGTTAAAAATGGGAATGGGAAAATAACAAAAAAAAGGGATGGGAAAAGCACAGAGGTTAAAAACTGCAATGGGAAAAGCAGAGAGGTTAAAAATGGGGTGGGAAAATAACAAAAAAATGGGATGGGATAAGCACAGAGGTTAAAAATTGGAATGGGAAAAGCACACAGGTGAAAAATATGGAATGGGAAAAGCACACAGGTTAAAAATGGGATGGGTGGGAAAAGCACACAGGTTAAAAATGGGATGGGAAAACAACAAAAAAATGGGATGGGAAAAGCACACAGGTTAAAAAAATGGTGTTGGAAAGGGAAATCACCCAGCTTAAAAAAAGTCCAGTTTTCAGAACTGGGAGCTGTACAATTAATGAGTGAAGAGGAATTTGTTTCCTCACTCTTCCTGTTCTTTGCTTGGGAATTCCGAAGGGAATGAAGGAATGGCAGAGCTCACCTTGTTGCAGGTGGAGTAGAAGTAGAAGTAGCAGTCGTCTCCCTGGTTGGACATGCTGCAGGAATCCTTGGGAAAGCTCCGGGTTTGCTCCCTGCCAGGGCTCTCCTCCAGCCTGGGCAAGAATTGGCTTCACTCCAAAGGCTTCTCCTGGCTTAGCAGTGACAGCTTCTTTTTAAAAGTAACCCTAGAGAAAGGGATCCCCAACAAAAATGGTCATTTTTAGGCAGATTTGTCCAAAACTGCAGGAATTTTGTCAGCATAAATTCTAATTTGGGACCTTAATAACAGTTCTGGGTCTTAAGCAGAGAAAAATTAAGGGGGGACCCAAAAGAGAGGCACTTCTTCAAAACTTGTGTGTAATTTTGAGTTATTAATGATACAAGAATATTTTATTATTATATTATTTCACACTGTATTATTAATACCATCTGTTCTTCCACATTTGAAATGAAACTTTAATTCGAGGATGTGAGCCAATCTCTTTAAAAATCACATTACCATCACATCTTATTCCATATTATTATGGAATTATATATATTATAAATAGAATATATATTACAAATACTATATAATTATATGTATTATTATATATAATGCAATGTAGCATAATGTAATAAACATAATAAAAACAGTAAGTCTATTATAATAAATATAATGGAATATAATGCAACAATATATATTATTATAATAGCACATATGTAATATATATACATGGAACATATATTATTCCATATTATTAATACATGTTATTTCTTATTGAAGGTGAATTCAACTTTAATAATTAGATATTAATAATGATTACATCATCACACAATGACACCACACCTCTACAATATCTCAACATCAAACCTTAACAATGGATGCTGAAAGAAGATTTTATTTAAACATTTCCAATATATCGGAATATTCTCAAAATATTTCCAATATATCAGAATATTCTCAAAATATTTCCAATACATTTGAATATTCCCAAAATATTTCCAATACATCAGAATATTTCCAAAATATTTCCAATACATCAGAATATTT